TCCCTACATTGCATACGTTTTTTCTCTGTTCCTTCTTCCCTGAGCAAGGAATGACTTGCTGAGAAATCCTTAGGGCTAGTTCTTGTATTGTCTAGACTGATGCCTCTGTTCTTTGCCATCCTTCTGGCATATACACTTGAGAAATGTAGTTTTCTGCAACATCAGTCAACTCTGATAAACAAAAGGCACTTACAGTATAGAAGGTAGTGTAGATAAATTTTTCTTCAATCTATGGACTAAAGTCTTTGTTATGGTTTAATCCCAGGCAGTAACTAAGCACCACATAGCTACTCGCTCACTCCCCCTGCTCTCAGTGGTATGGAGGAGAGAATTGGAAGAGGAAAGGTGAGAAAACTTGTGGCTTGAAGTAAAGACAAATAGGTAAAGCAATAACAGGTAAAGCAGAAGCCATGCACAAGCAAAGCAAAACAAAGAGTCCATTCACCACTTCCCATCAGCAGGCAGGTGTTCATCCATCTCTGGAGAAGCAGGGCTCCATTGCACATAATGGCTACTTGGGAAGACAAACGCCATTACTCCAAATGTCCCCCTATTCCTTCTTTTTCCCCACCTTTATATGCTGAGCATGACCTCATATGGTATGGAAGATTCCTTTGGTCAGTTTGGGTCAGCTGTCCCAGTTGTGTCCCCCTGCTGAGAAGAACTTGAGGGTACTGGTGGATGAAAAGGTGGACCTGAGCCATCAAGGTGCAATCACAGCCCAGAAGGCCAACCGTATCCTGGGCTGCAAAGCAGCGTGGCCAGCTGGTCGAGGGAGGTGATTCTGCCCCTCTGCTCTGAGACCCAACCTGGAGTCCCGCGTCCAGCTCTGGAGTCCTTAGCACAGGAAAGACATGAACCTGTTGGAGTGGGTCCAGAGGAGGGCCACAGAAATGATCAGAGGGATGAAACACCTCTCCTATGAGGACAAGCTGAGAGAGTTGGGATTGTTCAGCCTGGAGAAGAGAAGGCTCCACAGACACCTTCTTGCAGCCTTCCAGTACTTAAAGGGGGCTTATAAGAAAGATGGGGACACACTTTTTAGCAGGGCCTGTTTGTGATAGGACAAGGGGTAACAGTTTTAAACCAAAACAAGGTAGACTTCAACTAGATCTAAGGAAGAAATTTTTCACCCTGTGGGTGGTGAAACATTGGCACACGTTTCCCAAAGAGCTGGTAGATGCTCCATCCCTGGAAACATTCCAGGTTAGGTTGGACAGGGCTCTGAGCAAACTGATCTAGTTGAAGATGTTCCTGCTCATTGCAGAGGGGTTGGACTAGATGACCTTTAAAGGTCCCTTCCATCCCAACCTATTCAATGATTCTATCTTTTATAACCATATACTGTTGTGAATAAGAAGTTCTTTTAATAGTTTTAATATCTTAGAGAAAATTATTATGTTGGGTCATCTTAGGAAAATGTTTAAGGCAGTAATTCCTGAACCAGTTCTAATTTCAGGGGTAGTTTAGGTGCTCAGTGTAGATCTGCCACACAACAGCCTATGCAAATTCTAGTCCTAATTGTGGAAATGCTGATTTTTAGGCATATATTTCTTTCCTGTTCTTAAAGTTAATATTAAGGAGAGTGAAATTTAATGAACAGAAAAATTAGTCTCTTGATAGATATCTGTAACTGGAAATCTCAGGAGTTGTATGAACATTAGGAAGCTTAAAATTAATTTTATTGTTTATTTTAGAAGAAATTAAATTGGCCTTTTCATGTAAAGTTATTTCCTGTAGTTTCATTTAATAGCTAACTGCATAATCCTTCCTTTTACAGGTGAATTATGGGAAAGTCTGTAATGAAAGTAGAAAAGGACTCAAATTCACCATCTCTTATGGCTGTAATCCAGAGTTTGCCTTTGTACCATATGGTAGTACCATTGCTGTTTATACAATTTTCACAGGAGAACTGGTAACTATGCTTAGAGGGCATTATAGTACTGTCGACTGCTGTGTATTTCAACCTAATTTTCAGGTAAGTAAAGTACAAACAGTATTTCAGACAACTTGGAATATTTATGCAGATTAACAAACCATTTGCACAAAAAGTGTTAACTTTTCAGGGATGTGCTTTAATCAAAGATCTTGACATAAGAGAGTTCTGTGGCCTACTTGTCAAGCAAGAAAAGTGTGGTCAAGTTCTTGGGATGGCCCTTTCTATATTGAGTTCCTTCCACTATTTGTTTTGTCTCACATAGGTAACTTTTCAATACACTTGTATTAATTTTTTTTGCTTATATTGTCATTAAAGGCTTTTGCCTGCTTTCTGTAAGACTGAAGAGGAGACTGTCTTCCTCTGCGATACCTAACATTAATCACAGTAAGAAAGAATGTGAAGTGTATTAGTATTGCTATCATTACTGAGAAACCTCCCAAGTATTTTGCTAAGGTGATCTTGCTCAAATGCCTGTAGTTATACCAATTACTGGATCTATGAACAGTTTGGATGAAGTGTTGAAAACATGATAAGCCTCTTAAATTAATCTGAGAACGTTTCACCTAAGAAATACCATAGCATTATATGGACTCACGGTGCTGACAGCCTTTTTTTGATTTTCCTTTCCTCATATAGTGTATTTTTCTCTTGTAATAAAAGACTTAAGGATAACAAAGTTTAGTTTGTTCTGAGATACTTTGCAACAGATTGTTCTTATGGCTTGTGGTGGTGTTAACAGCAGAGTGGATGTTATTATGAATTTTAAGGCTGTTACACAGTTGTCCTCAGGTGTTGAGGATTGTATTTCATGTTTCAGCTCCTTCTTTCTCATGTTTTCTTTCTGTAATATCAGGCAGAAATGAGGCAGAAAGGGCACATGAATATCTCTTCATGAGCTATCATATAGTACATGATAGAAGTGAATCTGGTAGCTCTTGCTTTGACTCTAGTAACTTTGACTGAAAAAAAAGTCTCCTATCACTGAGGTGGACTTCACTAAAAGTTTTGGACACATTACAGATGAGGCAGTAGAGCCCAAGCTAATAAGCCTTGCTAGACCCAGAAGGCAGTTCTGGCTTGAATAGGCAGTGAGATACTAGATTCACTCAGAAGTGGAATATTCACATTATAGCTAAGGCACATCTTTTCTGGACTGTTCTTGACTAGAAAACACCAAAGCTCTTGGTGTTTTTAAGAATAGTTTACCAAATAAAAGTGCTACTGTGTTTACATTAAGTCATCTTTGGTGTTCTTTTTGTTAAGCTGAAGAGGTGAGGCTCATTAAATCTCACTGTAGATCATGTTTCCCAGCCCTGAAAATATATATCTCTTTATAGTGTCTCTATCTTGTCTTTTAAGATCCTTAGAAAATGATCACTTGTGTGTGAGCATGCACACAAAAACTGCATTAGTCACTATAGCTATAGGTTTATGTTGGCAGCAGCTTCATCTGTTTATCCATTGTGATTCCTGATTCTCTTCCAGAATCACCGTTTTCCAGAGTTCAATTCTATATTCTGTAGAAGTGTGACTGGATTTTCTTTTTCTTTAAATGCTCTGCTTTTAGTTGTATTAAATTGTTACTCTGATGGAATGACATTCCTATAGTCAGTGTGTCAACACCAAAGGTAGTGGTAGTGTTATTTTGACTGTTTGTGTTCACATCTATACTTCCAAAAAGCTCATTCTGTCTTTAGACAATTAAGTACATTCATCAATCTTCATATAATTCCAATAGAAATGATGATTTCCTAGTTAAAACTCTTTTTCTGAGAATGCAGTCATTTGTAAAACTTATAGCTGCCTGTTTTATTTTACTCTTGCAAGCAATATGAAATCAATATGTTACAAAGTTATTCACAGCTGTGCATTTCTATTTTCAGTTAGCAGTTGTAACTAAAATCAGTTTTGCTTGACAAAACCTGTTTTTTGTATTCCTGTATCTTAACGCTACACTGAATCGTTTAATCACCTTTTCCATTGTCTTGTTTAGGATTAAAGTTAGCTCATATGTATCTGTATCACTCCACTTTTTTCTTTTTTTCTGAATGGCATATTAGCTTACTTTCAGCTTTGTAGTATTTCAATACATATTAAAACATAATTAATTTGAGCAAGCCAGAAGATTTTTTTAGACAACTCTTTTAAGTTTCTCTGATTTAAGTTATGCAGCTAATGGTGAAATGTGTGGCAGATGGCTTTCCAATATTTTCTTACTTATTAGCACATTAGAAATTAGTACTCTATCTTCATATGAAACCAGGTCTACTTCTTTTGTGCATGGTTTCTACCATTTCCATCCAGTAGTGAGTCTCTGTCAATGTTAAGAGTTTTCTTCATATTAATAGTCTTCTGAGCTTCTTCTGATGTCTTTAACACTGATGGATGAATTTTGTCCTACCCCCCCTCAAACCCGGTCCTTAGATTTTTCTTACTATTTTTTTTCTATATTCAAAACTCCTGATTGATATTGGTTGCTGCCAGTCCCTCACAATCTTTCTGTTCATTAACTGTATTTTAATCACTATCTTTGTTTCATCTCATAACTGGAATAGACTTTAAAAGGAACTTTAACTTTGCACCAATTATGTATTTGTGGTGGTAAGTATCTTCTGTTTGCTCAGAACCATATAATCAAATATGATCACTGATACCCAAGCAACTAGCTATTTGCAATCCAATGATGTTAGTCTTTATGTGTTCTTATGAGGTCCAAATTAATTGGCAGGTTTGTATGGAATACCTTTTGTGTTTAAGATATTGTGTGGAGCTGTCTTCACAGAGTGGTGTGAGATTTGGTTAATGTGTGCATATATGCCTTCTGAGATCCTGAGAATAGAGCCATAAAATCCACTATTTATTGTTGGCCTAAATTGTTCTTATGTAAATATCTGTCTAAAGTTAATAAGATGTTAGTCTGCTTGAGTAATAAGAACTGCAGAATTTGGCCCTTTAATAAGAGCCATTAATTTAGTAGGAGGTTGGTAATTTCAAGGGTGGTGTGGAAGAGGAAATATTCATTGTGCAATCTTTTAGATGATGCTTACTCTTGGATCTAGTATACTAGATACCATTATGCCATATTAGCTGCTTAAAATAATTTGAGTAAACAAACAAGACCTACGTTTACCTTTCAGAAAAAGAAATGGTGTAAAGCACCATGCACGAATAACCTGTCATAAAATATTAGGTATGCATTAGGAAACAATTTTGGTTTGAATTATAGCTACTTCTATTGTTCAAGAAATGCCAGTGACATCAGCAAAGGTATTTGGCAAATCCAGTGGTAGGGTAATAAGTAAAGATAACTGAAAGTTAAATGAGGTTTCATTTTAAGTCTTTCCTCAGAGTTTTAAAGCATAGTATTTCCATATATTGTGTCATAAACATGCATGGAACATGTTTGTAGTACAATATATTAGTATGTCCTATACTGTGCCATAAATATGCATGGAGCTCACTGGCTGTTCTTTTGGCTGACTTAAGGTATGAGTCACCATTTCAGGTTGTAGTAATTAATTGTAAGTATTACTCAATGCAGTGGATATTAACTGAAGATCTTGCAATGCCAGGATCAGAAAGTGAGACAAGTAGTAATAAAGATTAAATGGAAGTATGGTGATGTCACTATGACATTGCTCACAAGGAGAGGTTTTGGCATGGGAAGAGTTTTTTAAAGTTCTGATGGTATTTTGTATCCTGTCAAAGACAGGAGGCCTGAGTAGAGTACTGCTGACAGGATAAAGTGGGATTTGACCTATACCTTGGTGTATCTTTGACCTGTCATCTTTGAAGCAAGAGAAGTGGGATGTTTCTCTCATAAAATTATAAACTCTAATCTAATCATGCATGGAACCAGTTTTACAAAAGTGATTATGTCACCTCTCTTGAATAATGTTACCCACATAAATGGGTATTTATAGGAATTAGGCATTAAGTTCCTATGCCAACTGTAAGAATAATTCATGCAATTCTAGAATTAAGTATACATAATATAGGAGGCTTTCTGCAAAGACAGAACTGTAGTGATTTATTGAACTTATGTTGAATCAATGTATTAATAATGTGCACATATGCACAGAGTTGCTAGTTTAAGTGTAAAAGCCAACATGCTTAAAGCAAGGCTTTTATACTGTTGGCCTGAACACAGTAAAAATACTTTGTATGTTTCACTCATAGATACTTTGTATGTTTCACTCATTTAAACTCAGGCAGTTTAAATGCATGGCAATACTCAAGTGTGGTCAGACATCACATACAGGAGTAATATTCAAGATTGAAGGCATATGAGAATATCTTCATGCATGTTCATGAAGTAGCACTTTGGAAAGGAGAAGCATTACTAGTGCAAAATTTACTGCAAAGATAGTGCAGTATTTCTCATTAGCAAAATTTCTTCAGTTTAAAGTGACAGAGAAGTCTGTATTTGCTTTAATAAAGAACCAAGAAAACTAAGCTATATTTGACTGTTAGCTGTTTGGTGTAGACACTGTTTGCTTCCACATGTTTGCAGGGTGCCTTGCACAATGGGATCTCAGTCCTTAATCATTATCATAATAAATAGAGTTATTTATATGAAAAATAATAAATTGGTCTTTCTGATCTCTGCCTTCCCAACAGGATACAGCCTTCAGATTGTTCTTTGTTCTTTTCCTTCCCTAGGCATACTGAAACTGCGTTTATTTAATACTACTTTGTTCCATACTTAAGCACTCTTCTAACATGTATTACTAGATGCTTTTCAGTTGATTCATATTTTTAATGAAAAAATATTTTCCTTTTATTTTTTTGCCTTCTCCATTGAACATAAATCATCTCTTAAGCTTCATAACTGTTAAAATAGGTGTATTTTCGGGAGACATGAGAGAGGGAAGAAGAAAAGTGCATTTAAACAATGAATTTCATGCAAATGTGGGTAGTGCTGTTTTGGTGAGCAATCTGGGAAAAATATAAAAATTTACTCATTTTGTTTTGGCATATCATTTCAAATACTGTGTATCAAAGTTATAGTACAAATTTGAAGTTGTATATTTGTCTTTATTTTTAAATAAATATTTCATACACTTTTCTTCCCCCAATATCATATCTATGTCACTGTTCAGTAAATTTGTGTAAAAGTAATTTTTACTTGATTTTTTTAAAGGAACTTTATAGTGGTAGCAAAGATTGCAATATCCTTGCGTGGATACCAGCTCTTCGAGAGCCAGTTCCTGATGACATTTCTGAAAAGGTAATGAATTTGTGAGTTTGAACTATAGTCTTTATGGCTGTTATACTTGGAGTGTGGTGTGGAAATTAGATATGAATTATGTGTTTCACCATCAAAATTTGCAAAAATTCCCACTTCAGAGGAATTGTTTCTCTGCAATCTTTTGACTGTTGCGGGATTTTGAGAGGACATTTTCTTTCATAGTCTAGTAAAATCTTTTGCAGACTTCTAGGTTCTCAAGTAAAAGTAGTACTTGTCATTTGGCTATCAGTCTATCAACTTCTACTTTAGCTTCCTTAATTTTGATACTGTCTGTAGTTTGTGCTATTTTGAGTTGGAAAGGTGCCAAAGATTGTGTTTTGAATTGTTTAAGAATATACTGTGTATTAAACAGTAAGATATTTCATACACAAATATTTTGATGCAAAAATATAATAAGATTCTAAATTAGTATATGAAGTAAGATGTTCAGGCTGTTACAGGGAAGATCATATGTAACACTGTTTACCAGAAGAGTACCTTCTCTCTCTTAATATTAGAGCTGGGCAGTAAAACTTTCAGTGAACAGTTTGAGGGGAGGAAATTCCAGGTTTGAAGGAACTGAAACCATCACAGAATCAGTGTCTGGTAAACTGTACTACTGTTAAAAAAATTTGGATATAAGAATGTTTTGGCTCATAGCATGCAAAAATTCCACTTTTTAAAATTCCTGAAATGTTTCATTTTGGATGGGGAAATGATAAGAAGCATAAAATTTTTGTAACATTTGCTTTGCTTTGTAAGACAACTTATTTCAACTTATTTCAAGACAACTATCCTACACTTAAGCAAAGAAGAAATTTTTGTAATATTTGCTTTGCTTTGTAAGACAACTTATTTCAAAACTATCCTACACTTAAGTGAAGAAGAAATAGGTCAGACAACTTGAACCCAAAAATATATTCTGTTGACCTGAAATTGACATGTTTGCTGTAACTGAGGATTTTGATGTGTGCGAATTGTTTTCTCTTAGTCTGAAAACCAAAACCAAACCCACAGTAACAAGATTATTTACCCAACCCTGATTAGAACTGCCCCCTTAAATTTGACGTGGTGGAGGTATGTAATATGTGCCATTGTTTTGAAATCTGTTAAGCTACTGTTGGCAAATGTTGCAGATGAGCACTGCTTCTGAAAGAAGCAGTTCTGCTGTCCATAGACCACTAGTTTCTACTCCTTCTCATGTGCTAGAACACCCATTTGAGTGCCTATATGACCAGAACCTGAGCCCAGGGTAGAAATAAAGAAGAAAAAAAATTACCCCAAGTCAAAACTGTGATTCAGTGCATGGTTCAGCTGCACAAACCTTTTAGCAAACCCTGGGGGGGCTGAGGTGAGAAATAGTTGTTGGATGTGGACAGAGGTCAGGACTACTTCTTGAGACAGTAGTGCTTGGTTATGCTGGGCCTGGGAAATTATGACTCAAAACTAGTGACTCAAAGGAAACGCAGTAATATCGACCTGTTACATTTTCTACCAGACATTTGTAAAGCTTCCAGTCAGTGGTCCAGATATTTTTTTGGTGAAATTGGAATTAAATAGACTGCTGTTTCTTTTCATAATTTATACTGTCTCTAATCAGTGAAATGGCCAAAGAAGTGGTTTAAAAAAATCCAGTACCCATGAGAGAGAGACACAACAGTTTGCCTACATATAGTAGTTTAAGAAATGCCTTTAACATTGCCCTTATTTGATTGTAGTATTTTTAATTAAGCAAACCACTGAGAGAATTTGTTTTTTCTTTAGTCTCTGCCTCAAGAGCATTTAAATCCAGCATATGAAGATGCATGGAGCAGCAGTGATGATGAAGGCTGAATTTCAATTACTTGCTGATATAAAATTGACCTTCAGGCACTGTGTTCATGGACTTTATCTACAGAATTGGATATTGTCAGATTTGTTACAACTGGATTTTTGGTACAGCTCTCTTAGAGCAAGGTGTTTCAGAAACAATTTTCCACTCTCCTCTGTGTTCTTTCTTCACTGTTACAGTTAAACCTAAAGGATTACTTTTTCATACATATGGACCTTTATACTTACTATTACACATTGGTATACTTTATTTAGTGTTGAACAGCTGATAAAGGAAAAATAAAAGCCGTTGGGACCAGTTAATAGTGCATTGTTTATGGCATCACTAATAAATACAGAAGTAATCCCTATGTTTCCCAGAGACATGACACAGAGGATTTTGCCTGAAGGAGGACTAACTCAGGGATACTTCCAGCTTATTTTTATCAATGTCTAGATGGAGCAGACTGCATACATTTGCAAGTGCTTATGTGCTGTGCAAGCTGACAGGATTTTGTGCCTGTTCCTTTGCATTTTCAGTCTTGCATAAATTTTTCTGTAAATACAGTATTCAGTTCAGAAAGAGGTGTAGCTGGAATCATCTATTCAAGTATTTATGTAGTTACTCTATCAACAAGTATCTGAATCTGTCCCAGAAAGTTAAGAATGGAAACTAGTTTAATTAGAGCTTTTGTTGCTCCTGTTAGCGGGTTTTTAAGATCAGTCTTCTATGTATGAATCTCTCACATTTCCCTAGCCAGCATAAACAATTCCTGGACAGAAACAGACCTGAGGTACAGTATGAGGCAGAGATTGGGTCACATTTAACGTTAGAAATATTGAATATTCAAACATTCAAAACTGTTTTCATCCAAATTGTGGTCCTAATGCCTGCTCTGTTTTGAAAGGGAGGAGCTTCGTGGGGATATTTTCTCATATCAATCACTAGTTTGTGCTTCAGAGGTATAATCTGAGAGCTGAGTTAGAGGTTTCCATCAGATGTAGATTGAGCTCTATAGAGGAAAAATTCCTTCCAAAACAGAGCAGATATTAGGACCACAAAATCAGTCAAAAGGAAGAAATATTGCACAGATAAATGAAAGATAATAATTTCCTCTTTTTATAGTGTGTATTATTTCTATGATTAGTATGCATTTTAGAATTAATTCACTATGCTGCTCTATTTTAATATCTATGCAATATATAGGCTATCAGTTTCTCTATCAATCTATAGACTAGTATTGTAAAATGATACCAAGTGAGGAGTGAGCATATCAAGGGAATGTTGTAATTTAAAAAGCGTCATATATAGTGCATATTTGCTGGGAGAGTCACAAAATTTAAGTTGCACTGTGAAGTGGATAGCTGAAGGGTAGAAGACTTCCAGACATTTCAGCTGAAGTCAGGGATCAGCCTGACACTGTCACTTTATAGAACAGAGAAGAGAATTTTCAATTTTTTTTTTCAAATGATAGTTTTCATTACCAATGGTGGCTGTTCCCTCTAAAATTGGAAAAACTGGGGAACAAATTTTAAGAAAGATTATACATTTTGATATTTCTCTTGAAGAGGATGATTTTGTGTGTTATAATTGTGCATATCATTTGTATATGCCAGCTGCAGTGAATGTATTTGCTATCTGAATTTCTAAAAATGTGCTCAGTAAATCATACAGCTAGTTATCAGAGAATAAATGCATTTTTAAAAATCTGTTTCCAGTTATCTGTAATCTGACTATAAATGGTGTTGATGTTAAAACAAACAAAAAAAAAACATAATCAAAAAAAACCACCAGCTCTATTGTGGACCGGGAATGGTATATACAACAGGAGAGGTTGAAAAATTACTGTTATTGAAAAGAGTGAGAAATCATAAAAATTAAACCTGTAAATAAGAATGTTGCATTAATTCTGTTTTTTGGAATGCTGTTTCTCAAATGAGTTCCTTTTCCTGTGCTTTGAGTACACAATTGTTGAGATTGGAAGGAACAACTGGACATAATCTAGTCCAAACTCCCTGCTTAGAACATGGTCACCTAAAACAGGTTCTTGAGGCTTGTGTCCAGTAGGGCTTTGCATATCTCCACAACCTACAAACCTGCTCCAGTGTTTGAGTATCCTTAAAGTATAGTTTTTTTCCTACATTTAAATGGAGTTTTCTGTACTTCAACTTCCACCCATGGCATCTTGCCCCATCATTGGATACCACTGAGAAGAGCCTGACTTCCTCTTCTTTACCTTTTCCTGGCTCCATCAGATATTTCTACACACTGGTGAGAACCCTCTAAGCCTTTTCTTCTCCAGACAGAATGGTCTGAGTTCTTTCAGCCTCTCCTTATGGGAAGGATCACCTTCTTCAACCAGCTGACAGCACTCTTCCTAATGCAACCCAGAATGCTGTTGGCTGCCTTTGCTACAAGGGCACATTGCTTGTTTAGAGAATCATAGCACAGCTTAGGTTGGAAGTGACCTCTAAAAGCCATCTAATCCCACCCCCCTGCAATAAGAAGGGGCATCTTCAGCTAGATCAGGTTGCTCAGACCCTGTCCAACCTGACCTTGAATGTTTCCAGGGATGGGGCACCTACCAGCTCTTTGGGAAACCTGTGCCAATGTTTCACCACCCACAGGGTGAAAAATTTCTTCCTTAGATCTAGTCTGAATCTACCGTGTTTTAGTTTAAAAACATTACCCCTTGTCCTATTGCAACAGGCCCTAATAAAAAGTCTGTCCCCATTTTTCTTATAAGCTCCCTTTAAGCACTGGAAGGCTGCAAGAAGGTTTCCCTGGTGCCTTCTCCAGGCTGAACAACCCCAACTCTCTCAGCCTGTCCTCATAGGAGAGGTGTTCCAGCCCTCTGATCATTTCTGTGG